GGGAAGCAGCGCCCGGGTACATGAGTAGAATGAGCTGATTGCGTGGTCGGGATGGCCGTGTCCGTGCGCCATCGCCTCCCCCAGCGTGGGGGGGGTTGATTTGTTATCGCAGCATGACCGTTGCTTTTTGCTGGCAGAATAAACGCTTTATTCATGCAGATCTAAGCTTTAGCTGGGGGAAGGCAGCTTTTTTTGAAACGTCCAGTCTTACCTAAGGAAAGAGGAGGGGTTTTAAATCCCCATCGGCACTGCTGCAACCCCTTAAGAGACCCGAAAAGGCTGTAAAAACGCAGCAGTTCCTCTGTGGAAGTGCCCAGCCTGCCTGCAAGAGAGAAAATGGCATAGGTCAGGAGAGGGCTGTTACTGGCCTGCCAAATGATGCTAAGCAGATCTAGAGCTACACCAATGTACATTTACTAAGGACAGAAATGTGGGTTTTGCAGCATAGCTGTGTTTTGAGGTGCACCGCTGAAACATGGGTTGCTGGAACCATCCAGCCTCTGGAACGTGCAGGCAGAGCTTGTCCTCTGCGGCACAGAAAGGGTGTGCTTGACAAAAGCCCTGCAACAGTGCCTGCTTTTCCTTCACACTGGCCTAAGAGCCTGTGGTCAAAATCAGGGGAGGGCCAAGTATTATTCAACCCACCCCATCCATCCCTTTGAGGACAGAGGTCCCCTGAACTGTACTATTTGAATTCTTAAGTTTTCTCTTTTTCTCCTTTACTCAGGATTGTGCTCCTGTTAGTGACTAATGCAATATACCAATGTGTACCATCCTCCAGGGCAGTTCAAGAGAGCAGGGTTTGGCTCAGGGAACTCCAACAGCAATTGTTGGACAAATGTTTCCCATATCCTCTCCTCATGAACAATGTGTCTTCATGCCAGTAAGACCATGGAGCTGCAGCTTTTGTTACATTTGTTAAGAGAAGCTGACAGTTATAAACAGACTTACTAAAATAAATGTACTCCTCTAAAAGTGGACGTGCTTTTAAAAATAATACTGTGGTCTCCAAAATATGTACGGGCAAGACTAGCTACTCATGGCTGCAACAGTTGCTTCTGGAAAAGAAATAAGTCTTTATCTTCATTTGCAGTTCTAGCTGTTTGAGGGTGCCTTAGAGGAACTTAAGTTTTTCAGTCTGTTAAGGCTTGTTTTCTGAATTCCTTACTTTTCTACACCCAGTGACTAAGCAGTTTTTTGTGATACTCTTCATCTAAATAACCTCCCATGGTACAAACTTACATGAACTTGTCTACTCTATTGTTATTGTTCTTCAACTGTTAGTAACCTGCAAAGAGATTATTCTTTCCTGTTGGTTCTTTTCTTTTTCTTTTTTTTTTCCCGTCCCATCTTTCTGTAACACTCTAGGAGCTGCTGAGTCACCTATCTGTAATAACCACCTTAAAGCCTCAATTTTTTACTTTGGTTTATATGACTGACTTAATCTGCAAAGCATTTTGTGATATTCACTATTGAAAACGTTGGATGAAAGGAGGTATTTCACTGGCAGGCAATGACAATGCGGAGAAAGTAAAGCAACTGGAAGCTTTCTGCCTCATGCATCACTTGTTCTGATTTCTGTATGTCAAGAGACAAGTCTAGAGCTAGTAAAATGGTATTGCAAGAAACTATCTTTCAGCAATAGGGAGACAGAAACTATTCAGAGTAAGGAATGACAAATCAAGTGGCAAAACTTTAACTGGATATTTATTTACAAGGCAGGGCAGATGGCATCAGTGGTTCCTCCTGTTTCCTACTGCTCCCATTTGTTGTAGTCATTCCTCCTAACCGTGGTCTGAATGAACAGACGACTTGGGGCTCTGGTACGTGCTATAAAAGCTGTGTGACTCCATTACACTTATGTTGAACATAATGTAGAATCAGAGCAAAGCAAAAAAAAAAAAAAAAACAAACAAAAAAAAAAAAAAGAGAAAAACAATCAGTTTTGAGGGATGATGCTTCCAGTTTGAGCAGCCCTCTTA